TATATATATATATATATATATATATATGTCTTGTAGAGATACTAGATACATGAACCATATGAAATTCCTATTTTTATAGGTCAAAGGCTATGATGTATTAGCGGTTTCATATAGTTCTACCTAATCAGAAAATGTTCTTGAGCTGGGAATGTAGCTCAGTGGTAGAGCACTTGCCCTACGTATGTGAGACCCTGAGTTTGATGCCCAGAACTGGAAAAATAAAGTAGTGACCATTGCGATAATTTCTTCACATGTGCATTTCATATTGTAGAACCATTTGATGGAACAAATACTGCCAGAGCTGTGCATGAAAAGCAGAAATTTGATATGATCAAGGATCAGTTTTTAAAGGTAAACAGTGCATCACATTGATAATAGAAACATTAGTGGACCAGGGTGCTTCATAAATGAAATACATACACACATAACACACACACACACACACACACACACACACACACACACACACACACGCACGCACGCACGCACACAAAGTCACTGATGTAACAGAATAAGGAATTTATTATTTTCCCTCCAGAGAAAGCTAGCTCTATTTTTCCTTTATGTGCATTTCACTTTTTTTGGAAACACCATTTTTATAGGGACCTTTTTTAAATTCCAAAACTGACTGAATAAAACTTAATGGATACTTTCCTTAGACTATTAGGGAATTTGGTGTTGAAGTCATGCCCTTTTTTCTTTCTGCTGCTCCCCCTATGGCAGCTTGTCTTTGATATATTTTGAAAGTTAAAAAGATGTATGCTTGTATGCATTAATTTATTCCTCAGTAGTTTTGTTAGATGAGGTCCTTGTCCTCAACACATCACAAAGTTCAGAGTGAAAATGCATTGATAGAAATGTGCATATGAGAACTGCAAGGGCAAGCTTCATAGGAGGAACCGATCAGAAGACTATGAAGATAATTTAGGGATAGTTTTTCATTGTTTTGCAGACTTTATTTTTAAAAATACAAGTAGTATGTCACAAGTTCTCCTTCAAGTTCAGCCCATTCAACAACCAGAGTAGATCATTGGTTTTCTTACTGTTCAGTTGCTCTTGTTGATGGGCAAGGTTTCCTTTCAGATTATTTAGTTATAAAACTAATTCAGTCAGTTGACCATCTAATGTGATAATAGAAGTAGTGGCCTAGCGTTTAGCATGTGAACAAGAATTGCAGTTTCTTGTCTTATCAATTCTCTTTACTGTTTTCCAGGAGCATATATCAAGTACTTTATTTTACATTTACTTTTTTTACCTTTACAAATACTGTTTTTAATTGAAAAAACTAGAAAAGATACAAAAAAGTCATCTTCCCTCTCAAATCTAAATTCATTACTTTGCTATTTTAGATGACATTATTTAATCTGTAAATAATGTTATTGTCAGTTGTAGCCCTGTGAGTCCAATTTAAAATCGGTGAGTTAGAATGTAGATAAAATTTTCTTTGGTAACAAAAACAGTATTTTGACAACATTAAAGTTGGAGGATATATAAACAAAAGCAGAAAAAATAATCTGAAATTCTCCTACTTAGAGAGAACCATTCTTTTAAACTCTCCTGATTCAGTGTTTTGTTCTGCATATATTTTATATTTTAAAAATGATTATATTTTTCTTCCTTAGTCATGGCACAGATTGAGAAACAAGAGGGATCTGAACAGTATACTACCTTCAAGAGCTGCTATCCTGAAAACATAACTGGCCTCATTCTTAAATTCGTCTGAGAAGTAAAGAACAATAGTTACATCATAATGCATTTTGTTTACCTCCATCCTGATTTATTTTTAATTGTTGTTGTTTTCATGTTTTATTTTTAAAAGGACATACTTCTATAAAGATTACATATTTTATTATGGTATTTCTTAATAAAACTCTTTGATTTAAAAATGTATTTTTGAAATGTTTACATTGATGATTAGTAGTATTATGGCATGACTTTTAAACAATCAGATAAAATATATTTTGGGAAAATACCTGAACAAATAAAAGGTTTTTGATATAACTTCAATTAATTGTACCACAGGCTAATTCTGAAGAACTATGGAATTTTGCAAAGTGTCTCATTCGTACATACTTACAGTATAACCTACAGTAAATAGTTGTCCAGGTCTGTTCTAGTCAAGTGAAGATTCAAGTCAGTTATTCAGTTACTTGAAGCAAATGAAATCTTTTATTTCAGTGAAATCACTATGTTGTCCTGAAATACTGGACAATTGTCTTAAGTCTTCACCTGACTCCCTGAGATAGACTGGGGCTTTGGGGGCTTGTCTGTAGTACTGTGATGTCAGTACTTCACATACTTTTCTTTGATAGATGCTTGAGCTTGCATTAATTAGATTTTGTTGAAACAATACATCTTGCACTATTGTAATGGGAGCACTAGCTTTTAAAGCAGTTAGTGACTTGTTGGTAGAATGTTTAAAAATCTCTGACATAGAGGCTTGGGGAACTGAAGTGTCCCTGCTTTGTGGTAGCTTAGTGCTGTGTGTACTTTTGCTTTACTTCTGGTTTCCTGCTTTTATTTTCCCTACGACAGAAAACTGAAATATCAAAGTTAAGATTATATCCTATTTGTAGAATCAGATTTCTTTCTGTGAACAGTTACAGGATTATAATCTATAAACAGGAATTTTAGGCAGTAAGCCACTATAAAGTGTTTTAGACAAAACATAATATTATTATAAATAAAAGCTTAATGTTTATACAAAAATCTTTTTAGTATTTCTTTTCCACCTGAAAGATGTAGTGGTGGCTTTGAATGAAAGCTATAGTGTTTATTAGGATTGTTCTTGGCTTATGTAAATATTTGTAAATTGGTCAGTACCTGTAAATTTAAATATAAAAGGTTATCTTGAAGGCAGTTTTAACTTTTTCAAAGATTGCAAACAACTTGTAGGTCTACTGTAGTACAGTTTGTACCTCTAATGTATTTTTTTGCAGACCAACTAAAACATGAAAACTTTTGCTTTCTTTGACTTATAAAGGGTGCAGACTTTTTTTCTTTAAGTTTAAATTTTTGTATACTGTCAAAATAAAGTTTCTATACGGAAATTGTGTTATTTTTCTGTGAAAGTCACTGTTTTTGTAATGAGATTGAGGCTGTAATGATCATCTAGAACTGATCAGACTCTAATTGTGCTTGATTATTTAATACAGAGCTTGGCATTAAGTTCATCAGTGGTTAAGCCTGTTAACCTTAATTCTCTGGCATTTTTAGGAATAAAGATTTCCATAAGGGTAAATTTTTAGATTACTAATCTGTAATTCTTTTGATGCAATTAAGTTTTGTATATGAATTATTTTTCTTGGAAATATTCCTAAATTTTATTATACATTGTACAGCCAGTTCTTTATCAGGATTACGTATAATTAATATTCTAGTGATGACCCCAGATGATCATTGTAAACAGTAGTCATAGTACAGTGCAGTAATAGTGTGCAGTTCTAGGGGGTGGGTTAAATATGTCGGATGCTCTGCCTCGACAGTATTATGACATTCCTTAATAAAGGTTCAGAATTTACCATGGTGTGGACTCTTGCATTGCCACCCTGTTCTCAGCTCTCAGTGACCCTAGTCAGGGTTCTCCAAAGAAACAGAACCAGTAGAATGAATATATCTGTATAGGGATTTATCATCTTAGCTCATAGGATAAAGTCTGAGTAGTCCAACAATGGCTGCACCACACTGGAGAGGCTAAGAATCTGCAGTCACTCAGTCAGTGAGACTGGATGTCTCAGTAGTCCCAATCTGATGCTGAAGGTCTGATGAATTCCAAAAGATAAGCTAATCTTCAGTCTACAGCAGCAAGACAAACTCAACAGCAAGAGAGAAGACAAGCAGCATAAAGCAAAGCCTTCTCCGTGGCCTTTTATACTGACTGCCATCAGAAGGTAACACCCACATTTAGGGTGTGCCTCCCTCCCAGATTCAGACGATCCGATTAAGATCTCTCATTTCAGTTAATCCCAGAATAGGTTTCTACCTGTTGCACTTATTTAGTGGGGCTGGGCCTTTTTGAAGCATTCATTAAATTTCCTGTTACATTTATTTAAGTACTTGGCCAGACTAGGAGCTTTTAGGAGCTGGGGGCTGGAGGAACAAAGATGCTATAAACTCATAGTACTGGGAATCAACACATGACATCTTGGCTGCCTTGGGTTCCTGGAAGAGGAACATGAATTTGAACGTGCAGAGTTGAGAAAAGTCCGCATCCTGAGTAAACAGACCTTTTGGCAGGAATTATGACTTAAAACTGCATTAGGCAGGATTTGACTTTTTTGGAGATTTTGGGCTTTAGTCCTAGAGCAGTGAATGAGGGGTGTTAGGCACTGGCCTTAGATAAGATGCAATGAGGTCTGAGGCCTTTGAACAAAACAGCCTTTGAGTGATGTGAATTTAAGATTAGTGGAGAGTCCGGGATGTACGATCAGGGGCCCCTGAGGAAGAGAATAGTTTGGAGCCAGTACTGGACAGGGAGCTTTTGAATTGGGAACTCTGGTGTGTTTCCCACTGAGTCAGTTCACTACCATTGGGACCTTAAGCTATCTACTAGAGCTCATCTGAGGCCCGGATTCCTCATCAAAGAATCCTCAGTAAAACTACCACCTCAGAGGAGTAAGGAAAGCAGGACCTGGCATTGTTTAAGGATCCCTGGAGTGGTCCATCTGAATGTTAAAGCCTGCCGGATTACTCTGAAGCGAGTAATCCCTTTGCCAAGCCCAGGTGCAGCAGCATGGCGTGTCGGCTCCCGAGGCCCGAGGCAGACAGGCCAAAAAGGGCGGGGAAATTGGCTGGGGTCCCGGGGCAGGCCCAGAGGCTCGGTGGCGAAACTTTCTTGACGCCTTCTATTTAAAGGCTGGGGCTCCCCCGCCCCACGCCCGGAACCCGAGCCACCGCGGGTCAGGGGCGCAGTCAGACGGAGAACAGCAGGCGCGGCGGGCGGGCGGCCGGACTCCAGCGGGACAGCGATGGCCAGCGGCGACAGCAGCCACACCACCGACAGCGTCCTCGGCTGGGACGAGGACGAGGAGGCGGCCCGCGAGCTGGAGACGGAGGAGGACACCGAGGGCGAGGAGGAGGAGACGGCGGCGGAGTCGGAGGAGGAGCCCGACGCCAGGTACCCGGACTGCGGACACCGAGCACGCACACGTCCTGCAGCTGGCACAGCTGCCCACCCTGCAGAGCCTCGCCAGGCTGCTGGCCGTCTCCGGCCTTTTCCTTTTCCCTTCCTGTCGCAGGAGTTCGTTCCCTGGAGCTAAGCATTTTCCATCTGCTTTTTAAAAGAACTTTCTAAAGGTGGAAGGTGCTAGCTGTCAGCTGGAGTGACAGGTCCACCTGCTGCAAAGTTCACTACCCCCACCCCCACCCTGCCTCCCAGCTCCTTGTGACTTGCTGCTCTTGTTTATTCTTGGAGATTTACTTGGGGTTCTGCCTAACTACGAAACTGTGCTGAATGCTTGCATCTGCCTCCAAGCACAAATCAACCTTGCCTGAGCAAGAGGGGAAGGGTAGAGGTAGAGACCGAGACCGCTGCTCTGGTACCCTCGAAGCTGTCAGCTTCTTGGGGTTCTAGCACTGGGCCAGTTTCATGTAGGGAAACTTAATTTTGATGCAAAGACCTATACATTTCTTAAGAGAAAAGAATCATGAAGGCCAAGTGTGGTGGCCCACCCCAGTAATTCCAATAATAGGAAGGCAGGAGGATCGTGAACTCGAGGTCATCTGGGGCTGCATCGGGAGATGTTTCAGAAACTCGTT